GTAAGAGGCAGGGTTGGATTTCACCTCGAGGGACCTGGTTTCTGGCCATGCTCTTTCCTATGCTGTGAGAGACCTCCTTAGGCCAGCTCAGAGGACAGGGTGTGGGGAGAGGATGCACCCAGCGAATTCTGCAAGCCCTGGTATTTGGCAGGCGTGCTACAGTTTGCAAAGCATGTTCACGCCCAGCACCTCCTTTCTTCTGCCCACAGAGCCATCTGGACTCATCCTGGGCTTTGTGGTGCCTGTAGGCTCTGGCCCCACCCACCTCTCCTGCCTTGCTCTCCTTCAGGACTCCTGAGCTCCAGACCAGTTGGGCTACCAGCGCTTTCTTGTACATGTTCCACAAGTTCCCACCTCTGCATTTGTGCTTAAAACACCCCTCCTTCCAGCTCAATCTGCACAAATTCTCACCATCCCTCAGAGTCTAGTTTATATACCACCTCCAACAAGCAGCCTACCCTGATTGTTTCGGCTGGAAGGGGGAGGAGGATGGGAGGGGAAAAGGAATAGGCATTCGTTGAATGTTTACTCTGTGCCAGGCATGTTACATAACCTCGCAACAACCCTGGGATATAATTTGTTTCTGTCCCATTTCATAGGCAGAATCTGAGGCGAAATGACTGGCCCAAGGTCACATAGCTAGAGAGGATGCTTTTTAACTCCTATTCCAGTGCTCATTCTCCTGCTCTAGGCAGGAGCCCTGGGCAGCTGATTAAGGCAGACCTTTCACCTTTCCCCTTCTTCATGGCTGATCCCTGGGGGAGGCGACATGACCCATTCCCTCCCAGCTAAAGCCAGAGCTGCTGACACCTCTGCATTGGGGCTTCAGCCAGGGCTGGCTTTTGTTTCTGCTGTTCACTTGCTGAGTCGGGGCTTTGTCTCCCAGGGGCCCCTCTCCGGTCCCTGCCTATAAGAGCCTGACCTCGACTGGTCCCAGGTCTGACATATTCTCTGGGCCCATCTGGGTAAGTCTCAGGTTTGGAGAAGGGGTGAGATCAGAGTTCTGAGTGACCCTTTTGGCGGGGGNGTAAGTCTCAGGTTTGGAGAAGGGGTGAGATCAGAGTTCTGAGTGACCCTTTTGGCGGGGGAGGGGGAGCCCAGGTCCCATTCCCGGGGATGTCATCCTAACCAAGGACAGGCCCCAAACATCAAGACCAGTGCCTGCTACCTTCATTTAAAAACAAAATTATTCTGGTAGTCTCTTTGGGTTAGGTGCTGTCTTTGGAAGGGCTCTCTTAAGCTGAGTGCTTTGGCACTTGCTGGAGTGATGGCTGCATCCACGCACTAGCAGCCACAGTGACTTTCCCATAGCAAAGATAAAACAATACAAAGTGGGGCTCAGAGGCACTGGGACCCGAATGGGTAAGTTCTAAGATGGTGATAGAATGGAAGATGGCATTGGTCACAGATGGAAAGGATAGGAGAGGGACAGGCCAAGGCCATGCTTTACCCCTAGCCCAGTCACATCTGGACCCCATCTGGATCCTGCCTTGGCCCAAACCTGCTTTCAGCATCAAGGAGGAGAGCAGAGCCAATATGGAAAACTATGGTATTCTTCTCCTGTGCAGGAAGGGGCCAGCATGGCACTGCAATGCACCAAGTCAGCAGGACACTGGAAGGTAGGAAGAGGCTTGGGGAAGGGGTGTCCATGGAGGGGGTGCAGGTCAAACCCAAGTCCAGAAAATCCACCTCCACTGAATCATCAGATGAGGGGGTTTTGAATGCCCATT